TTCTTAATTTATAATTTTCTTAATCCCTTAGAATTTCATTTTTAAATCGGTGGAGCGGGCTAAGGGATTAAGAAAATTTTTAAAGTCTAATGATTCCTGAATCCATTAGCAAAATTGATAGACACTATTGGTGTAAAAGCCACCATACTAATGAAATGCTTAGAGCAGTTGCTCACGCTTTCCTGTCCTGAGTCACATGTTTCCAGCATACGTGCTGGCACTGCCTCAGTCCAAGATTCGTCCGATGGACTCGTTTTTGCGGATGCCACTACTGGTAAGCAAGACTCAGGGGAGCAGTAAGTTCCACAAAGTGGGCTGCACTGTTGTAGCGTTATCCCGTAAGTTATTGCATTTTATATTCCTGTGTGACTGCGTATAGTATTCCATTGCTCTCCCTCACATCCTTTTTGTAAGGCCAGTCTTAGCGCAAAAAAAATTTTCCTGCCTCACTAAAAAGCGCTAATGTCAGCGCGACCTTGAAATGGCATCGATTTGTTGATTGGCCATTATTTTCGTGTGCGTTTTATTCTAAAACACTTTTTTGACCGTGAAAATTCAAAGAAATTACGCTAATGCAAATTGACCGTAGCACAGTGGTGTGACAATTAGGAATGACAGCCGAAGATACCGGTGTGAGAAAGGTCTTTCAGTGGCCCCCAAAAACCCGGAAAAAGAAACCTTCGTTATAGTAAAGAAACCTATTTTATAGATAAAAACGTGCAAAAGTACGAGAAGGATGAAAACTGCAATCAAAACGAAGAATCAATAAGTGCAGCAGCACTAACGATTTTAACCGTTTACTTTAAATATCAAGCTTTTTTTTTAAGAAAAATTTGAAGCTTGATTCATGCTGTCGCCTTTTCCTAGAATTATTTGCAGTAGGCAGCGCGAAATACACCCCACTTATTTTTCTAGTGTAGCAGCCATCAATCCTTGTGCTAATTAAATTCGATCAGTTGGATCTGTCTCCTAACGGATTTTTTGCTTCTATCATTAGGATATCTACTTTGTCGAACGAACTGAAAATCATGTTTTCGTTCTAAATAAATTTGCGTGGAAATATCCAGTGTGAGAGTCTAGCGGATTGTTGCTGCTTACTGGCCAGAACGGGTATTGTTATCAACAATATCAGCATGGCATGATCACTGATTTGCAGATGTGAAGCAGAGAGGTGAACAGCATAAACGCCTAAGTGATCATCATCCCGTGCAGCAGCAGCAGCTTCTCATGCTGCCTTACTGCCTTCCTCGTTCGTTTCTTAGCTTGCACAGAAGGAGTGAAAATCTAGCTGCTTTGTTGCTTTCCTCTCGCCGGTTTATTGCTTTCTGCTAGTGTAATGGGCAAAATTTTGTGAAACGCCTGCTGGTCTTCGGAGGCAGCGTTGTGCTGGACGGAGGCGCAGCTGCTCGTTGCTACACACATTCCCGAGCGCTCGCTCCGGTTTCTCGCCGCTCCAGGAACTGGATTTTGAAATGAGAGCAGTTTACACCACGATGGTTCCCTTACCAACCCAGCATACGTTTCGTTTGCGTCTCTCCTTCCTCCGATTCATCACAGAGATGCAAATTATATCCCTCTCATCCGTTGACGGATGTTCTCGAGAACATGTACTTAAATTATTTTCGAAAAAGGTGCACAGCTGATCAATAATCTGAAACTCTCGTTGCTGTCAGATGATACTTTTCTGGCTGATAATCTTTACGCGGCATGATCAGGAGTTGTGTCTGGAATTACTCTTTCTGTAATTTTTTCGAGTAGCATAAAGGAAAACAGACTGGCACCTAAGACTGTTGGTTAGGTCTTGAAAAGAAATTTGGGCTGGTTGTGGAAAAAGAGAGGGAGCACATCTTGAAGATATGGGTAGCAGTCTTAGCAGCTACAATTACGTGGTTTAATGTTTCTTGAGTAATTGCAGTTACATGGTTTGATACTTCTTGCCCAGTAAGTAGCGCTTCAATAATAATCAAATAAATAGCGTTTCGTCCAGCGGACGTTTGCCTGCTAAGGATTTTCACTGTTTTACACTTTGGTCTGTGCAGAAATAGTTGATGTGTTGTCTGGATCCTAAGTGCGGAATTTCTTGTTGAAAATTTCACGTACTAGTACGTAAAACGTAAGCGTACACGAAAGCTGAATTTTGGACAATGAACATCCTTCCAAAATTTCATTCTTTTAATTCCCTGGCATCCGGCTTGACTTTTGCGCCAAAACTTTCATGCAATCGTGCATAAAACCTCGGCATGTCTGGGAGCTAAGTTTGAATTTGTCAACCCCCGCATAGGCAGAAAAAAATTCTGCTGAAATTTTCAGCCCCTTAGCTCTTTTGGCTCCCGAGATACTAATTTTCCCACCAAACCTTTCATGTGCGCTTGGGTTTTCCGCAAATCGTAAAACTCAGACGTACGCGAGAGCTGTATTTGGATTTGCGAGATAGTAGTACGTGGACAGAGGACAATCCCCTGAAATTTCAACTCTCTAGCTTTCGTGATTCCCGGTATAATAATTTACCCGCCATAACTCTCAGGAGGTCCTACGTGACATACAGACGCACGGGAAGGCTGAAATTAAATTTGTGGGGCTCACACGTTTTCCTAAAATTTCAGCTCCCTAGCTCCTGTGGTTCGAAGTTGAAAATTGCGGACAAAGTGCACTCAGACGCAAACATACACATAAACAGGGGCGTGATAATATGCGCTTCGTGCAGCTGTTGCACAACACAAAACGCATAAAAATTGTAGACAGTGCGGGCTAATGTAAGAAATATTAAAAGCCATCGAACTTCCTATTTATTTCAAAATGAAGCGAAACTCTGTCACGCGTTGCTTGATCGAAGGATAATTAGCCAGTGCTTTTCCCCCATCCTGTCCCTCTCCTTCTTTCTTGCCTCCATTCCTCACTAGGTTACACTCGCGGCTAGATTGTTACGAACTAGAATATTTTTGCTTCATTCATATGTTGTTTAATGTTGCAAAGTTTCTTTCAGTGGAAGTCTCGTCAAAATTAGTAACTGATATCATTGTTGCAGGATCAGTTAAACGCATTAAAATTTGAATTTCTGCCCATGACGGCCCTTAGCTGCAAATTTTTTCCTGCGATTTATCTGGAACTTACGAAATTTTTTTTTACAGTTTTTCTGAACAATCATACCGATTGCTATTTGACCTTACGGTGTGGAAGAGGGGAATTTCGGAAGTAGCTGATGCATGAAAACATTCTGCTAGCAGCAGCCAGTGCTCACTATCAGCCTAACATGTGTTCTCTTGAGTAGTGCAGATTGGTTTGTGCATCAGAGCCGGTCTAGTCTGCAATATCTTGAATTCCATAAGATAATGCAAAAAAGCGTCAGCAAATATTTGCTTTCATTGCGAGTTTTTGCGGACGTAGGAAAGCAATATAACAGATAGCTTTGGGTCTTCGATTTTTCATTTGTCGGGATTGCACTTGAAATTTTTTTCCTTGTTTTGCAATGTTCTTTAAACTTCACGTCCAGGCAAGTGTTTAAACGCGTTTTTGCCTGGTGTTGATGGATTGGGATCCGAGAAACTGGAAAAAACTTTGAACCTTGTTGCGGGAACATTGTTGCGCTAGCCATGCATCTCCCTGTGCTTATTTTAAAATCAGTAATCGGCAGTGTAAATGAATTTTCACCTTTCTGTTAATTTATCTGTCCACTGGTCAGCGGCACAAGGATCGAATGAGAAGGGAGCCAGAACGTGAAAACCATTGCTTGGTCGATTTGCCGCTAGAGAACTCATCTGCCGTGGATTCAAGTCGTTGTTTCTTCAAACAGAAACTTTTTCTTTTTGCGCATTAGCAGAGTTATTTTAAATTGCAGTTGCTTGAATTAGTGGCGATGAAAATACTGCGAAAAAAACCAACATTTTTATTCTGCTTTCAGTTGACCGTAGCACCGGAATGTTTGCTTAGTTGCTGCGCTTACTATTCGCGCTTTCGTTTTTTATGCATTTTCCACACACCATAAATCACTATAACGAAGGCATGTGCCTCTCTTTGTCCAGAACAGTGAAAGCTGGTAAAATCATTAGAGCAGTTCCTGTACCTCGTAAATGTTCACAATCCCGAATCAATTTTCAAGTCTCTCTTATGACTTTATGCTCAAATCCACGCAGATGCCATAATCGGAGAATGAACGAAGCTAATAACTTAAAAAATTGGAGCCTTAGCTCATCAAAACATTCGAGAGCAAAAACCTGGAACCGGCTTTCTTTACTACGTTTTCCCTACAACTATGTGTCAAAATGTCAGCTAAACATGCAAAAATCTGCAAACTGAAGATTTTCAGGCCCTAGTGTCCAGACAAAGGCAGGCTGAATGACCTGGGATAAGCCTTAAATGGCATATGATTCCAAATCCATTTATAATCTAGCTTAATAAATTAAAAATGCATCCAACAGTTTGGAAATTTCAAAGTTTTGGAACACTGCATAGTGGAAAATGCAGTCAGGAAGTCAATCTGTAAGCTGTACTCTTTTGCCATTTATACTCAAGAAGAGATTGGTCTTGTAAAGTATGAAATCGAAAAATCCGTGAATCAGAACTTTGATATTTCACTCATCTCAGGCTGAGGTCAAAATCAACTTGACGAAGCATGATTATCGGCAAGAGTAGAACACAGAAGTGTTTGTTTGCATGATATTCTTAGCGCGCCATTATTCAGTTTGTACTTTGAAGATTGCCTGGAAATCGGTGTCATGGTTTTTGTGAAAACAGTAAAATTTTGTTGCGCTTAAGTAATGTGT